CATGTTTATGTCTGTCTTCCAGCAAGTCAGCTCCTATGATTTCTTTTCAGAAAAACTGCAATCAAATTCTTGTTCTAATTGGATAAATATGTCATGTGCTAAAGGAAAATGTTCTTTGATAACATGCTTTATACTAAGAGCTTTTCCTAGCTTATAAGTGTAACAGAAACCATTCTGACCTTCTCATAAAGCAGCTGAGATAAATTCTGTTGATGTCTGTCCTGAAAAGATTCATAGAGTTGGAGAAGCTTAGCACATAATACTTGCTCTTGATTGAAGAGAGGATGATGATTGAACTGCAAACCCACGATATTGAGATCCAATTGGTAGAATTCTCGACCTTCTATTCTGCTTTTAAAGGAGCTTCCTAAGTCAGGTTTTATGGCCTTTTAAAGAAAAATGTGGTACAATGTTAATTTGATTCTATTTTTTAATTACAATTCAACTATTCTGTATAAAAATAATATCAATTATAGAAAAATTCAAGAGTTAAACAAAAGCAAGAAATAATTTGTCTTCTTTGAAATTATCATTATTAATTTTATAAAATGTATTTGTCTTATAGCATTTATGACCATATCTTAATCATGTTACGAGAATACTACTGTCACCAACCTCAGATACTGTTTACTATGGACATTAGACTCTTAAGTTATAAAATCAAAATTACTTCCTATAGGAACATTGTAACAAATAGCAGTGTAACTTTTGGATTAAGAGTTTGGTTACACTGGGCTGGGAATATGGCTTAGTGGTAGAGTGCTTGCCTAGCATGCATGAAGCCCTGGGTTCGATTCCTCAGTACCACATAAACAGAAAATGCTGGAAGTGGCACTGTGGTTCAAATGGTAGAGTGCTAGCCTTGAGCAAAAAGAAGCTGAGGGACAGTGCCCAGGCCCTGAGTTTAAGCCCCAGGACTGGCAAAAAAAAAAAAGAGTTTGGTTACATGATGTTGGAATGGTCATGTGTGGGCTAGAATTTAAAAGTGATTTATTTATTTTATTTTATTTTTGTCAGTTTTGGGGCCTGAACACTGGGCATATGCACTGTCCCTCAGCATTTCAGCTGAGGACTCAAACCCAGGGTCTCATGCATGCAAGGCAAGCACTCTACCTCTGAGCCACCTTCCCAGCCCCCTCAAAGTAATTTATTTAGTATAAATGTTTTATTATAATGTTTTATTATAAAACATTATGTATACTGAAAATATTGGAATCTGAGAGAAATCCCCTTGAGGAACTGAGTCCCTCTGAACAAATGCTACACTATAAGAAACTATGCCCCTCTATGAGCTTCTCTATTTGGGTACCTCATTGGTTGAAGTCTGCAGGCCTTAGATCCCACACACAAAATGGTTCCGACAATTTTATTTTTTTAAATTTTATTTATTTATTTATTTTGTCAATCGTGGGGCTTGAACTCTGGGCCTGGGCGCTGTCCCTCAGCTCTTCAGCTCAAGGCGAGTGCTCTGCCACTTGAGCCACAGTGCCACTTCCAGTTTTCTATGGTTTATTGGAGATAAGAGTCTCACGGACTTTGCTGCCTGGGCTGGTTTTGAACCGGGATCCTCAGATCTCAGCCTCCTGAGTAGCTAGGATTACCGGACATGAGCCACTGGCGCCCGGCTTCCGACTATTTTAAGCACATATGTTTGAACATGAATGTGATTGGTTTCTGTGATGTAGTTTAGCGGGTTAATGAGTTACTTAGAGTATGTACCATAATTTATGAATACCTGGCTATCAGTTAGGAGCCATGACTGCATCCACTAAAAAAGTAGCACACTGAGGCCTCTAGCTAGAAATGCTGCTATGATTTAAATATCATTTGTTAAATATCATTTATTTAAATATCATTTGTCCCCTCTGAAATTCGCAATGAAATTTGATTACCATTATGAGGTAGAGGTAAGACAAGGTGAGACTTTTAAGAGGTGATTAGATCTATTACCTGATGAATAAATTATTTTATTCATGTCATTGATGGGTTATCTTGGCAGTGGTTTTGCTATAAAAGCCAGTTTGATTGGGTATCTTACATGTTCCCTGTGTCTTTCTAAGTAATGTGCCTTTGGTCTTGATCTTAGGGATCTGCAGGCAAAATTGTCATCATCAGACTATCTTGGACCAGAACCAAGGGCCAAACCAAACCTCTTTTCTTTACGTTTTTGCACAGTCTGTGAGAGACACCATGTTATTTGCAAAGGCAAATGGATTAAAACACATACAGTAAGGGCCTTCATCCTGGTCACTGTCTATCACACTGAAAAAACGACCCTGCCCCACCCCAGATCTGATGTGGCAGACTTGATGCTCTTCAAGGAGGAGGCTGCCAGCATGATGCCTAAACCTCTGCCTTCCTGGTATTTTTTGAGCTGGGAACCTTTTCTTCTTCCTCACTGGGTTTTGGGAAGACAGGGAAAAAGTCACTATAGTTTTGTCTAATCTGTTTTCTACATAAGATCCAATTCAGAATTCACCTAAGGGACTTAGTCAATTATTAATATACTGATAAACCAGTCATTACCAAGTTAAAAAATATGCTCATAAATAAACTTACAGAAATTCAAGTTGTCTGTTTTGGTAAGTAGTTTGGTAACTATGTTGCTTACTTTCTTTGGCTTTCTTCTGAAGTAACATAAGTCTTTGCTCTTGGTTCTGCCTTATTTAGTAACTAATAACTGTGGTGCTCAGAATTATTGAGATGGTGGACTTCATAACAACAATAACAGGATGAGTATTTAGATTGGAGAGAAAAATTAAGGGGGAAGTGACCGTAGCCTTCATTTATTTAAAAAGCTGTCATAGAGGTGGAAGTATTTTATGGGTTCTTTTATGGCCAAATGAAGTCAAATAAGTAATCAGGAAGCAGACTTTAATTCAAGATCCAAAAACAGATTTTTAGAACTCCGCAACACTAGAATGAATTATCTTGGGAGATAGTAAGCTCTCTTTGCTACACTAGTAGAAGTTGACTAAAGGGACTTAATAGGCTTCTAGAACCAGACAAGTGTATTACACCAAAAGCACAAAGAGGTGTGTAAAACTGAATTAAAGGCTAGACAACAACATCCAAGCCTTAATGGATTTACACACACTAATCTGGTTATGGTTTAAATGACAGACAATACCTAGTGTTGGAAAGAATCTAGTTTGCATATAATTTCCCAAAACTACTTTTGAGAAGCTGACATTATACACTGAGACCAAACACATCAGATCAGCATAAGATCAACATTTTTATTCTGAGATACTTAATCAACAAAAAATACGTATACATATATTAGTTAAAACACATGTACAGAAGCTAGGCACCAGTGGCTCATACCTATAATCCTAGCTTAGTTAGAAGGCTAAGATCTGGAGGATCTGTTTGAAGTTAGCCTAGGCAGAAAAGTCTGTGAGACTCCATGTCCAATTAACTGTCAAAATGTCAAATGGAGATATGGTTCAGGTGGAGGGCCACTAACCCTGAGCAAGAAAGGTAATGAGAATGTGAAACCCTGGGTTCAAGCCTTGGCATCAGTACAAAAAAATCCATAAAAGTATTGGTAAGAAAAAGTCAATAAAAGAATATACTTAAAATTCATCCAAGAAAAGTAATTTTATTGTTCATATAATGAAATGCTGCATAGAAACTTGAGACTGGCAGGGGAAGAGATGGATGGGAATGAGAAAGAATGATGGGAAAGGGTCACTCTTCTCAAGATATATTGTACAAATAGGTGGACATGTTAAATTGAATCCCTCTTCACATCTATTTGAATATAAAAATAAAAATTTCTACACAGACGAGCAAACTATTGCTGTAGACAACAACAAAGTACCTATTTGTGATTCTGATTCCAAAATAATGAGTAATCTACAGTAATAGAGATTGTTACAACGCTTAACTTGAACAAAATTAATTTATTCATTTTTGGGAGGGGCAATACTGGGGTTTGAATTCCAGGCCTTAACACTTCCTAGACAGGTATTCTACCACCTGAATCACTCTTCCTGTCCCTTTTTGTATTGGTTATTTTCAAGAAAGATCTTACTTTATGTCCAGGCTCACCTGGACTGCAGTCTTCCTATTTTTAATTCCCTTTATTAATGGGACAACAGGTGCACGCCATTGCATTCAGCCACTGCTTGAGATGATGTCTTGAGAACTTTTCTGACCAGCTGGCCTCAAATAGCAATCCGTCATATTTACCTCCTAAGTATCTTGGATTACAAGCCTGAGCCACTGTGCCTGGATTACTCATTTTTGCAAAATTAGGGTCATAGATAATATTCTGCTGCTTTTCACTTTACATTTTATTTGGAGGATTTCCCTACATCATTAATTATTTCTCAAAAACAGTCTTACGGGTAACTTAATCTTTTATCACAATTAAGTCATTATTAGGCTTAGAATCTTTAGAGAGTAAAATAAAATGACAGAAATGTAAGATATAATTGATATTACAAGATTTTTTCAACTATCATTACAAATAAACTATTCTTAGTTACCTTTTTGTATATAGTCTTTAGTGCTGGATTTAGTGACTCTTTGCTTACGCTTAGTCTGAAATTCCAAGACTGTCTAATAGGTGAAGGTAATGACATTATTTCTCCATTTTCTTCAAACCAACATTTTCCCTATCAAAAATATTTACAAAACACAGCAATTGAACATTTCACTAAAAATAAATGTCATATACTATTAGCTGGTTTAATTTGTTTACTGGTATACTTGCCTCTTCTAGTTTAACTAGGCGATTTTCCATTTTGTTGCAGATTGTTTTATGTATTTCTGGTTTTCTCTGAATATATAGTCCTTCATCTTCTAAAATGCGTGGCATCATACCTTTTGGTAGTTTATACTTGCTGGCCACTTAATAATAAAACTTAGATATTAATTTAGATTCCAAAATAGAGGAAATATATGTTAGTGTAATTTTAGATTAATACTTTTAGTTTATCCATGATACAAATAAGTTATTATCCTATAACATGATTCATTAATAAAACATTTTATTGGAAAAGAACATTACCTGGAGAAGTACTTGGTACAAAAATATTGGTCTGCTGTTTTTCTATTTGTTTTTTATTATCTTCATATTCAGCAGCTTTTACTTCAAGTAAATCTGTAAAAATCACTTCTTCAATAAAATCTTCATCTTCGCTTTCAGCAATATTTTGCAAATTATCATCAAGTGAAAAGTGTTTGGAGTAACTATCTTTTACTGATCTCTGTTAAATATCAAAATGAAAAGTAAGTCTAGATTTTTGTCTTTAATGATTAGTATGCAGGTAAATGAAAGGTACTTGGTACGTAAGATTACATGCATGTTTGATGTGACACTTTTTAACATTCATCAAATATTGATCAAATGCCTAATATGTTCTGGAAGCAGATGATAAGACTAATGAAGAAAAATAATATAGGATAAGGGAACAAAGAATATTGGGCTAGGTAGGGTGGAAGTTACTATTTTAAACAGGATTGTCAGACAGTATCTTGTATCATTCAAATAGACACCAAAGGTAGCAAAGGATAGAGTATGAGGATAAGAGAACTTCCTAAGTAGATAAAAAAATAGAAGGACTCTAAACAGATAAAAAAAAAAATAGAAGGACTCTAAGGCAAGAGTGTGCTATAAGCGAGGAACAACTCCAGTGTGGCTGGCACTAGGTGAGAAAGGTGGAAAACAGAAGAAATGAAATGAAATGAGAGGAGTAATAGAGGCCAGATTATATAGGCCTTGAAGAATTGTGCATGACTTCAGCTGTTAAGTAGCAAACTATAAGAAGGTGAATTCATTTTTAACAGGATTGCTTTGACTACTTCGTGATATGGAAAAATCAGCTCTACAGGCAACAGTGAATACAGAAGTAGACTTTGGCAGTGATTCAGATAAGAATCACTTAATGGTTTTTTAAAGAATGGTTTAAACTAGGATGAAGGTGGCAAAAAATTGATCAGAGAATGAATACTTTAAAGGTAGAATCAACAGTATTTATTATGAATTCGATATAAAGCTTGAGAAAAAGGGAGACTTCAAGGATGACACTAAGGTTTGGCTGAATAATTTGATTTACTACTATACTGCATTTATATAAAATTGTGTGCATGTATATGGGCATAGGCACTTGATAACAGTGCATGCAAGAGGCTGAGGAAGGAAAATCTAGAATTCAAGGCCAGCCTAGGCTATATACTGCAATGTCTCAAAAAAAAAAAAAAAAAAAAAAAAAAAGCTGGGTGCCAAGGACTCATGTCTTTAATCCTAGATTACTCAGGAGCCTGAAATCTGGGAGTTAAGATTCTGAGCCAGCCCAGACAAACAAATCCTCAATATTTATCTTCAATTAGCTAGCAAAAAGTTGGAAATAGAGGCACGGTTCAAATGGCAGAATGCCAGCCTTGAGTGAAAAATACAAGTAAGGGAGAGCACAGGACCCTGGGTTCAAGCTCAAACCCTAGTGTGGGCAAGCCCATGTGTGTGCGCGCATGCACACACACACACACACACACACACACACACACACACACGCACACACACACACACAGTGTCATCAGATTTTTACTGCAGACAACCTGCAAGAAGAGCAAAATTTGAGCCAGATCATCTCTTCTCTAATGAGGATGCTGAGGAACAATTTATAAGTGGAGAAGCCAGAATGAACATGTCTTTAGGTCAAGCCCCAGTATCAAGTGGTAGAGCACTTGCCTAATAAACAAAGGCTCTGGGTTCAATCCCTAGGATAGCACCCACCAAAAATAACATGGAATGAAAGGATTAGAGCAGATGGCAATAACTGGGAAGTAAGCTGGAAGGCAAGTGGTGACCTAGAGAGACATGAAAGAAGTATCTTAGGGAATTTTCTAGAGGTGCCAGGTGTCAGGTGAAAGCATTAGGAATGGGAGGTTCTGGATGGCCAAGACCTTAGAAAACCTTGGATATTTGAGGGCATAGAGAAATTGGAGAACATCACAGGAAAAGCAGCAAACAATGAGGCAAGTGTGGCAGACAAGTCATTAGGAGATGGAGAAAGGGAAGAGTAATGGCAAAAAGGGCAAGCACAGAGCATCAGGAGACTGAGGAGTCTGAGAGAGGTACTTGGAAGAACTGATAGAAACCAGAAGGGTCTAGTTGACCTGGGAGAGATGGAAGATTCGGGAACTGTGCGAAGTGATGGAGATCATGGAGAAGAAAGTAGGACATGTGGAGAGAAGGACAAGAACAACTAAAAGAGGAGAAATCACTGGCTCTAAGGTTACACCTTACATAACCCAGCTTTGTGCAGCTCAGCTTTTCTCCATCAGTTTCCTCATCGAACACCTCACAGGTGTTTCACAAGGATTGACTGACACATTTCACTTCGAAAATTTTATCTTTAACTTTTTTAACATCCAGTAAGTACTCAAATGTTAGGTATTATCATAATGAACAGTTTCTCAATTTGAAGTGAAGGTATAATAATAAAAATTTTCTCTCCAAATCAAGCATTTCATTTTATGCCATCAACAATAAACATTGAGAGAGGAAGATGTAGGGGAGAGGGGGAATAAATCCAACCTGTTCAGAAGACTGGCTCAGAGCAGACCTTTCTTCACCACTCAGGATGAAAAACGAAAGACCTTCATCCAACAAGACTTCAGTCTGTGGGTTGAACAATCATAAGTCACTATATATTGAAGAAATATTTCTTTCTAACATGGGAAGCAGTATCTGTGATATTATTTATAACTACAAAACAGCAGTAGGACTGAGCTATTTTTATCACCTTCAAGTATGTTTGGCTTATGAGTTTTTATGGTTAATGTTCTGATAACTACAATAAAATCCAAACAAAATAGAGCCCAAATCCTTATCTCCCCAAACAATATCTCATCATTCTAATCCAAGTATTAAGAATATGACCTGCTCTGGGCATGGTGGGTATGCCTGTAATCTAAGCTACATGGTAGACTTACATAAGAAGATCATGGTCCAAAGCCAGCCCTGGGCAAAAAGCAAGAGACCCTTACTGAAAGTAATTGAAGGGAAAAAAAGGCTGGGGTATTGCTCAAGTAGGAAAGTATAAGCATAAGGCTCCAACTTCAAACTTAATCCCAACACACACGCATGCACGCACGCACGCACGCACGCACGCACTCATACACAGAGTATTACCTCTCAATTTGATCAAAATACTTTCCCACATCAAAATTTTCCCCTCCTTATTTTCAGGTGTCCTCATGTATACATTTGTTTACATATATACATAAATAACTATCATATTTCACCATCTTTATTGACATTCTTAGCTATAAATTTGATAAGACCTCGTTTTTCAAGGCTGTAAAGTCTTAATCTTTGACATATAAATCACATTGCTTCTTTCTTATATGCATACATTAAAATGAACTGTTTAAGAAAGGTTTAGAAAGAATTCAACTCTTTAATATAAAGTAAAAATCAAAATCACTAGGAATTAAAAAATTCAAAATATCTTGTATATGTCTATACTGTAGTTGTCATATCAACTTTAAGTTATCCATTTTGGAAAGCTGCTGTATATATGGTTGCCAGTATAACTTTTACTTCTGAACATCTCTGCTCATCTCAAAACTTTCTGCTAGTTATCTACTTCCTGAATAGAAAATTTCTATCTAGCATTTGGTATGGGAATTCTTTTTCTTACATGCTTTAATTTTTTATTTATATTATGATGGTGCTATACAGAAGGGTTACAAATACATAAGTCAGATAATGAGTACATTTCTTTTTTCCCAAATATTTCTTTATTGAGATTAAGTACACAAATTTCACAGTACTGTGGCATAGTTATACTTAGCTAAAGTCACAAACACATTTTAACCTTCACAATGATAATGATCATCATTCTAATCTGCAAAGCTTATGAACCCTACAAACATTAATAATAAAATTCTTCCAAATCAGGTGATATGTACATTTCTTTCCTTTTGCTTAGTATCAGCTGTTCCCTCTTTCTCTCTCATTCTCTCCTTCCCATTACTGGGTATGGGAATTCTTAAAAGCAATTTCTCTTCCATCTTACCTTTTTTTTTGATATTCAATGATTTAACCTTGGTAAACTTAACTATTCATAGTTATATACCCATGATACCCAAGTTAGGCATGCTTCTATTGACATGCTGAATGAGTAACATATACATAGGCATCCACATTAGTCTGCTTTTATTTTTAAATTTATCTAAATTTATTTTTTACTACAGAGGAAAGGTACTGTAAAGTCCATAAAAATGAACCATTAAAAAACAATAGAAAGATTTGCTTTTAAAATGTTCAGAATCTCTATGTGTTATGGCAGGAACTACCAATTGTTCATTGTATTTTCTCTCATCTCTAACAACAGAATCTGTTGTTAGCTGGATACCTCAATATTTCTCCCACATTCTTGTACTAGAAATGATGTGTGCAGTTTGCAAGTCCTGTCCTTGAAATATCAACTAGCAATCCTTTTGAAAAAAGCAAAGCTTTGCCATGGTCTCAGGGATGAAGTTGAATATAGTGGTAATCTCCCATCAGCTTGGACTAATTTACCTAGAAGGACAATTATTTTCAAGTAAAACTTCTATTAATATTAAGAAGTTTACTTTGAATCTTTTTGTTACAGCTACCTAGCCTATGTTCTGAATAACACGGTTCCCTAAAAATATGAAATTTTGGTCATTTCAAGCTTCAAATGTGCAACTGAATACTGAACTTTAAAACTAATTCTGTACACTAGAGATCATCTTTAATATTGTTTAAATATAATTAACTAGAAAAACATTGAAGAAAACTCTGAGAAGACAGCCCTTCCATTTTACAAGTATACTAGTAAAAGTGATTTACAGATTCAATGCAACCCATCAAAATCTCAATGACATCCTTCATAGAAATGGAAAAAACAAGCCTAAATTTTACAAAATACCCAAATAGCAAAAGCAATTATGAACAAAAACAGCAATGCTAGAGGAACCACAGAACCTGACTTCAAATTACACTGTAGAGCTACTGGACATGGAGTTAACATGCTGTGTATACAAACAGCTCAAAAATAAAACACCAAAACAAACAAAAGAATAAATAATCCAATTAATAAATGAGAAAATGGTTTTTAAAAGAAGTACAAATAACCAATGGCCATATGAAAAATGTTCATCATCCTTAGCTATGAAAGAATGTTTGACAAGAAAAGAGTACTCACTACCTTATGTATATAAGTAAGCCCTCTGTACATCACCTCTGTAAGCCCTCTGTACATCCACAAAGAAGAATGAAAAGAGTTTATGTTAAGTAAAATAAGCTAGCTTCAGAAAGACAAATGACAGGGCTGGGAAGGTGGCTCAGTGGTAGAGTGCTTGCCTTGCATGCCTGAAGCCCTGGGTTTGATTCCTCAGTACCACATAAGCAAAAAGAAAAAAGCCGGAAGTGGCGCTGAGGCTCAAGTGGTAGAGTGCTAGCCTTGAGCTGAAGAGCTGAGGGACAGTGCCCAGGCCCAGAGTTCAAGGCCCACAACCACAAAAAAAAAAAAAAAAAGAGTCTTAACAAATTTTCCTGCCCAGGCTGGCTTCCTGAGTTGCTAGGATTAGCCACTGGTGCCGAGCTGTTTTCCTTCCTCTTTCTCTCTTTTCTTTTAAAGCATAATGGAGCTCATAAGTCTTATTCAAAATATTTCAAATTTTGTGTGGTACTGGGAATTGAACTCAGGACCTCATACTTGCTAGTCAAGTGCTCTGTCATTGGAGCACCTGAATCAAGGCCAAATCAAATTAAATTTTATTTTCCTATCCTGGGCATTGAACTCAGGTCTTTAATGCTTATGAAGCAAGCACTTTACCACTACCACAATCAGCTCTCAATGTTTATTTTTTGTGTGTGTATTTCCCTAAGATATCATATATTATTACTATGACTAAATCACTTAACTTTGCTTAGTTTAGGTTTGATATTTTAGGATTATTATGAAATAAAAGGGCAGGAACTTGAAAGCTTTTGGAACTACAAAGCTATATTTAGACTGAACCTCAGCTCTTTCTTAACAAAAAACCAAGTTTATTACACTCCATATTTCATATAAAACTATAAATATGAAAACAGGATATATTACCTTAGTACTTTTTAGCTTTCCTCTTACTTTGCCTCTCAGTATCTTTGTTATGTTTTGACTGCCTTCTGCATCTGAATAAGAAAAACAATATAGTCCACAACATTTTATTATAATTAAGCAACAAATAATCTGTAAAAATAATTTAATTGTATGTATTTAGTATATTAGAATGTATTTGGTACATTAAGTTAGGGGGAGGGGAGCTTGAACTCAGAATTTGAGCAATGTCCTCTGAGCTTTTTTGCTCAAAGATAGCACTCTGCCAATTGAACCACAGCTCCACCTCTGGTTTTTTGGTAGTTAATTGGAGATAAGAGTCTCACTTCCTGCCTTGGCTAGGTTTGAAGTACTCTTCACATCTCAGCTTCCTGAGTAGCTAACATTATAGGTGTAAGCTGCCAATATCTAGCATTTAAGAGAACTTCAATGGATTTCATGATTCTGTTTTTTCTTTAATTTTTTATTGTGAAAATACCGTACAGAGGGGTTACAATTACATGAACAAGGTAATGACTACATTTCTTATCAAGCACTGTTGCCTCCCTTCCCATATCCCCCTCACCCCATCTCCTCGCCAAAGTTGTAAAGTTCGTTTTTTGACTTACATCTTGTACATCTCATTGTTGCAATGGGTCTACTTGTATCTCTATTTAAACAATTTGTTTTTTCCCTTCCCCTCCCCAAATTATAACCAACATCAAATACAGTGAAAACAGGGGTTATACCATGGGGGAAATACATACAAAGCAACAAAGAAATCATCTTATAAGTATGTTAGAAAAAATAGCAAAAAAGAAAAACCATTTGAGTCCTTATCTTGGGGTTCATGTCACCTAACATCAAGTTATCTGACCATTTCTGCTTGTCTCAGACATATACTAGTCATTGCAAATAAGGGAAACCATTGGACCTATGTTTCTTTGGGCCTGGCTTACTTCACTTAATATAATTTTTTCCAAGTCTTTCCATGCCTACATTTGAACATGGAATATTTGTCATTCTCAATCATATTTATTTCTCTTAACATAATGATCTCTAGTTGCATCCATTTTCCTGCAAGTGATTTCATTTCATTCTTTACAGCTGAATAATGCTCCTGTATAGACATACAAATTTCCTTTATCATTAATCAGTTATGAACAAGTAAGCTAATTCTACAGCTTGGCTGTACGAATTTACATTCCTACCAACAGTGTATAAGAGTTCCTTCTCTCCGGGCGCTGGTGGCTCACGCCTGTAATCCTAGCTACTCAGGAGGCTGAGATCTGAGGATTTCGGTTCAAAGCCAGCCCGGGCAGGAGAGACCGTGAACCTCCTATCTCCAATAAACCACCAGAAAACCGGAAGTGGTGCTGTAGCTCAAGTGGTAGAGTGCTCGCCTTGAGCTGAAGAGCTGAGGGACAGCGCCCAGGCCCACAGTTCAAGCCCCATGACCGACAAAAAAAAAAAAAAAGAGTTCCTTCACCCTGAATTTATTTGTTTTCTTGGGGATAGCCATTCTGACTAGGGTAAGATGAAATCTGAGGGTTGCTTTGATTGGCTTTTCCATTATGGATAAGAATATCAAACAGTTCTTCATGTCTATATTGGCCATTTGAACTTCATTTTTAACAAAAGTATCAAAAACATTGGAAAAAGACAGCCTCTTCAACAAATGATGTTGGAAAAATATGGAGAAAACTGAAACTAGATCCTGATTGTTTACTTTACAAAAATTAGTTCTAAATGTAACTACAAAACTAGTAGAAAATGTAAAGAAAATATAGAGAAAAATACTTGAAGATGTTGGCATATTAACAAATTTCCAAATAGGATTCCAACTGGTCATGCATAAGACCAAGAATTGCCTAATGGGATTGCATCAAATTGCATGTATTTCTAAGCATCATGACAATCATGAAGACTAGGTTACTGCTTAAAATCCAACAGATGCCCCTTTCTCCTTCTCTTCTGAAACGAATACTTACCTATGGTGAATTTTCTTTTATGACATCTCCACTCTCTGCCACCTTCTTTTGCTACTTCTAGTAATTAGTCAGTTGTTGGGAGCCATTGGGAGCTGACAGTAAAGCTCAAAGGTCCTCTTGACCCTTGTGCTCCCTTAAAGGCACATACAAGGAACTGGCTTACTTAAAAGACACCAGGTGCCCAGGATTCCTTTGCTATGTCTGCAGTTTGTTTTAAATTTTCCTTGTTTTTCTGGATTATAGTAGAACGGCCTGAGTGTGGGGGCCCACGAGGATGCACCGGGCCGCATGTGTGGAACTCCCAATACCCAGGCTGCTCCCTTGTTCTGAAGAGGACGACCTTACGAGATACTGACCTTTATATATGCCCAGTAATTACTTGAACTGCTTCTGCCATTTCTAACTGTGGGGGGACTGATGTTTGTTACTGTGCTAGGTGGGGATGTGAGGTAACTGGGACGGGCTCGTGGATCATGCACAAGGGCCCTCCCTATCCTTGTCTGGCAAATCTCGCCCCCCCAGACTTGCCTCGAACCTCCTGCATAGCCAATGCTATCCTTACCAATGTAATCCTGTTAAAATAACCTTTACAGAGGAGGGAAAAGGATAACTAACTGGGAGGTGGGTCTGCCATTAAAACAAAAAAGGGGGAATCTGTAGGGCACATGGGCAGCAAAGATGGCGCTGAGAGGGAGTTGAGTGGGCAGAGCCCAATTTGCTTTACGTTCAGTGCATAACCAGCTGGTGGAAGCTTAGGTGCATGATAGGGTGTGACCTCTTCCTTCCCTGCCATGCCACCCACTCTTTTTGGCTTTAAAAAGGGCTGCTCTCTGTTAATAAATGATTTTTTTCCTCTTGATTTGACTCCCCGCTGCGTCTGATTGTCTCCCGGGCTGAGGGAGGCTGGGGAACTGGTGAGCGGCCAACTTACCTTTCCTCGGTCTGTCTTTCGTGGGATGGACAAAGACCCAACAGTCAGTTTTTATTTGTAGACAGACAAAACTTTTAAATAAAAAATCAAAAGTTCTAGCCGGGTGCCGGTGGCTCACGCCAGTAATCCTAGCTACTAAGGAGGCTGAGATCTGAGGATCCAAAAGCCTGGCCGGACAGGAACATCTGTGAGTCCCTAATCTCCAATTAACCACCTGGAAGTGGTGCTGTAGCTTAAGTGGTAGAGCACTTGCATTGAGCTGAAGAGCTGAGGGATAACGCCTAGGCCCAGAGTTCAAGCCCCATGACCACCACCACCACCACCACCACCACCACCAAAAAGCTCAGCTAAACCAACGTTTGCTTTTTATTCCTGTTAGAGAAAATAATGTTCCATGAGAACACTTATATTCTACAGCTACAGATATTAAAATCAAGTTATTTTGATAGTTAAACTGGAATGGAAAAAGGAGTGGAAAAAAGATAAATTTCTAGGTTTCTATTTTAAATCTTTTGTAAAATCAGCATGATATATTTCACCTCTACGTTGGCTCTTAGAGAAAATGAAACAATCAGTCTTGTCGGCCATGAAGAAGGCTCCTACTTATGTGCCATGTGTTATTTTCTCTTCACCCTCTAAATGATGAACTGAATGGATCAATAACAACAGTAGCTGTAGAGTCATGGGTTCAGAAAAAAAAATCCGAGAATCTATTATTCTCTTGTATTTTGCCTTTTCTCTTCCACTGAATCCTTAAAGATAGTGTAGGCAGAAATAAAAGGTGGCCAGGGGCTGGGAAGGTGGCTCAGTGGTAGAGTGCTTGCCTTGCATGCATGAGGTCCTGGGTTCGATTCCTCAGCACCACATAAACAAAAAAGAAAAAAAGCCGGAAGTGGCGCTGTGGCTCAAGTGGTAGAGTGCTTGTCTTGAGCTGAAGAGCTGAGGGACAGCGCCCTGGCCCAGAGTTCAGGCCCCAAGACTGGACCCCCCCCCCAAAAAAAAAGAAATAAAAGGTGGCCAGAGAGAAAAATCACAATAGGTTATAAGACTCTTTATAGTCTTAAGGAGAGTATTCATTTGTATAATTTAAAAATTACTAGTCAAATTGTTAGTATTGTATTCCTAGACTTTAGAATGACAGATACTCAATAAATATTTGCTGAATACAAAACCAAGGATCAACTACTATTTATTTTTAAGGCTCCCAAGACTGTGAGCTTTCTGAAGCATGTTCTGTATGTATCTTTAAATTCCAATACAGTATCATTCAAGCATTTAGTGGATTCTCCATGCTTATGAAGAAAGATGGTAAAATAGAACTTACCTTTATTATATGAATTGATTTTTAATGTATTTCCTTATGTCCTCTATTATTTAGGAAGTTTGTGTTTTTAAACTCTTTCAAGAACTTGAAGCCGAGTGCCAATGGCTCAGGCCTATAGTCCTAGCTACTCAGAAGGCTGAGATCTGGGGATTGTTGTTCAAAGCCAGCTCAGGTAGAAAAAGTCCATGAGACTCATTTACTCAGAAAAATCCGGAAGTGGTGCTGTGGCTCAAGTGGTAGAATGCTAGCTTTGAGCACAAAGAGGCTCAGACACAGTGCCTAGGCCCTGAATTCAAGCCCCAAGACCAGCAAAAAACAAACAAAAAACACTTCAAACTCTGCATGAAAATAATCATTGACATCTTTTAACAAAATCTAAAACCTGGGGTACCTCTGATCAAGCACTGGACACTCAGATGGACAGGTTAAAAGTAACCCCCTTGTATAACCTTTTGAGGTTCCGAAAAAATGCATGTACAAGGTATCAAGGTGAAACTCCTTGAACAACTAATATTTACTTTAAAAAAAAAAGGACAAGAAGCCGGGCGCTGATGGCTCACGCCTTTAATCCTAGTTACCCAGGAGGCTGAGATCTGAGGATCAGGGTTAAAGCCAGCCTGGGCAGAAAAGTCCGTGAGACTCTTATCTCCAATAAGAGAAAACCACTAGAAAACCGGAAGTGGTGCTGTGGCTCAAGCACTCATCTTGAGCTGAAGAGCTCATGGACAGCACCCAAGCACAGAGTTTAAGCCCCATGACCAAAAAAAAAAAAAAAAGGACAAGAAAATAAGCTCTGAAGCAGAAGTACCAGTGGGAATTATACTTTATAGATATATATATGAAAATAGAACACTGAAACTCTTCTAAGAAGGGGGAGAGAGGATGAAGGACAGTATTAAAGAGTGTGAGACTGATCAGGGCATATTGCATGTTTCTGTAGAAGGGTAATAAAGAAACATCCCTTGTATACCTTGTGTGTGCTAATAAAACATAATAAATAACAAAAAGGTATATTACCAAATTAAGACCCAGAAACAACTTATTCAACAATTGGATAAATAATACTAAACATATAAAAAATGAAAACTAAGAACATCAGGACTGTAGTATACTGATTGAGAACCTTTTGAGAGATATTTGTCCACAATGCTATTTGTTTCTTCTGATTCCTGAAAAAAAAAAAAAGAAAAACAGGGGGAGTTAACTTGCATCAGTTTTTGTCATTGAACACCTTTTCATCAGCTTGTGATACTATCATTCCCTTTTAAATGATAATTTATACCCTTTGCTTATTTTCTTAAATTTCATCTTATTCATTTGTACGAGCTCTTTATATATGAAAGATTTGTTGTTGTTGTTGACAACAATAATCTATATATATGTAAGGAATTATAAAAGACAGTAAGAAGCTGGGCACCAGTGGCTCATGCCTACAATCCTAGCTACTCAGGAAGCTGAGATATGAGGATCTCGGTACAAAGCCAGCCTAGCCAGGAAAGTCTATGAGACTTTTATCTCCGATTGACCACCAGAAAACTGGAAGTGGAGCTGTGGCTCAAAGTGGTAGCCTTGAGCTGAAGAGCTTAGGGACAGTGCCCAGGCCCAGAGTTCATGCACCACAACTGACAAAACAAAACAAAAACAAAACACTAAGAAAATAAATCACTCAATGTTTAAAAGCAGACAAGGACAATGAATAGTTACTTCTCATATGAAAAGATACAAGTGACCAACTGTGTATAAAACATGCTCAACATCACTAATCATCAGAGAAATACAAGTAAATGACAATGATGATGTAGCATTTCATCCCAGTTGGAAAGGTTATCACATAAAAGATAAAGATGGTGAGAATGTAGAGAAAACAGAATGCTTTGCACATGGCTAGTGTGTTCGTGGCAATGTAAATTAGTACAGTTATGGGGAAAAAAAGTTTACTCAAAGAATTAAAAAAAAACCTACCAATCTCACTATTTGATACATATACAAAAATAAAAGGAAACTAGCATGAAAAAAAGATATCAACACTTCTATATTGAATGCAACATTCTTCATAATAGGTAAGATATAAAATCAACTGTGTGTCCTTTAACAGATGAATGGGTAATATAGTATACTTACAGTGGAATACTATTCAGCCTTTAAACATAAGGAAGTCATGTCATTTTTAACATAAAACTTGAGGACTTATGTTAAAATAAAGCCAGGCATAGAAAGACAAATACTGTATGAACTGTATGAAAAGTTGTATTCATACAACTTTAGTAGACTGGAGGACAGGGCTTGGACTGGAAGAGTATTGGGGATAGGTTGGGAAGACACTGATCAAAGGCAGGAGGAGTAAGTTAGAGATCTATTGCACAACATGATGCATGCTGTATGTTATTAACTGGAGTTAATAACCATTTATTCTATTTTGAAAATTGCAGAGTAGATTTTTAAAATATTCTCACCAAACAAATTAGGATGCAAGGTAACATGTTAATTAGCTCAATTTATCCTTTCCACAATTTATAGATATTTGAAAACATATTATACAAATATATATATGTACTTTTTTCCAAATGAGAACTAAATGAACTTTCTAAAATTTTAAAAAAGAAAAAAAGATAATCTTAGTTTGTTGAGCTTAATAAATATAACTCATGATTTTACTAAGACTCAATAAATTATCCTGTTCTTTTAGGAAAAGTAAAAAATGATAAAAAGCATTTCAGTTTCACTGTGAGAAATGCTAGATAATTAAAATTAACTACCAAGGGACACTGAAGCCCACACCTACTATGGATAAAACTACTAGGTGAATTTTCATTTGCCCGAAAGGAAGCAGAGGAATGATTTTTTTTTAAGTGCATTTTTTTTGTTTTTTCTTTTTGGCGATCACACCCAGGATGTTTCACTTGCTAGGCAAGTGCTTTGCCACTAAGCTACATCCCAGCCCAAGGGGGGATGTTTTTGTTTTGGTTGGTTGTGGGGCTTGAACTCTGTCCCTCAGCTCTTCAGCTCAAGGCAAGTGCTCTACCACTTGAGTCACAGCACCACTTCCGTTTTTCTGGTGGTTTATTGGAGATGAGTCTCATAGATTTTCCTGCCCGGGTTGGCTTTGAACCACAATCCTCAGAGCTCAGCCTCCTGAGTAGCTAGGATTACAGGTGTGAGCCACTGAGCCCCGCTAAAGGGGGATGATTTTAACGACCTCTATAAACCCTAATTCTATCCATTACTGTTAGGCTCAAGTCGCAGAAAAGTTGTTTAAATCAAAATGTTTGACCGGAAACACAAAAGCAAATGAGTGCAAGTGTAAATTACTTTTAGAAAAACTTACATCTTAATAAAATTTATTGCTATAAAAACATTTAGAAGTCCTTTGGAGCTTCATTAATACTTTACCTTTTTAAAATTATCATCTCTTCTTTTTGAGATACTTTTCATGATGATTCCTTCATTTATACTTTCTAGGTAAATAAGAAATATTCTTAAAAATCATGATAAAGAAGACTATTACAAGAATTGAGATATAAAGTATGGTAGGAAAGATTTGTAATTTAACTAAAAATAAAACAAAGAAATAATCACATTTAGTACTTAATATTTAGTGTGTATTCAGCCTTAGTATATAATAAAAATTCTGGTGAATGTACGACAACATGCAAAAGGAGTAAGGTATAATTATTGAGAGGGAAAAAATGTTTTATTTGTGGATGTTAGGTTTAATCTAAAAAAATTTGACTTAATAAAGAAGTTGTTAAGTGACAGTATAACTAAATACATCGTGTGTGTGTGTGTGTGTGTGTGTGTGTGTGTGTGTGTGCATGAGCGCGCATGTGCACGTGCATGTGCATGCATGCCAGTTCTGGTACTTGAACTCAAGGTCTGGGTGCTGTCCCAGAGCCTCTTTTTACTAAAAGCTAGCACTCTAATTGAGCTACAGTACCACTTACAGGTTTTTTGGAGTAGTTTACTGGAGATAAGAGTCTCATGGACTTTCTTGCCTGGGCTGATTTTGAATGATGATCCTCAGATTTCAGCCTCCTGAGAAGCTAGGATTATCAACATGAGCCACCAGTGCCTGGCACATACCTTTTTTTTATATGATGCGATCATGGAAAAAATCACTTCCAAACTGCAAGTTTGCTATCGTTCCTTCTCCTCCTCCCTCTCTCCTGTATATTTTTGCAATATTGCAGGTTGAACTCAAGGGCTTCTTGCCAGACAGGTGCTCTTCCACTTAAACTACAACTCCAACACTTTTTGCTTTTTAGTTACTTTTTTGTATATGGTCTTAAGTTTTTTGCTCATGGCCGGCATTAGACCATCATCTTTCTAGCTATGCTTCCCACATAGCAGAGACTAAAGGTCTGTAACATCATACTTATTCATTGAGATTGGGAGTCTTTTTGCTGGGGCTAGTGTCAAACTATCATCCTTTCCAAGTAGCTGGGGTTACAGATGTGAGCCCAGCTTACAACAGCAATTAAAAAAATTTTCAAAATACTGAGAAATTATCTCACAGCACTTTCCCCTCCAAACTACAAACCTTACAGTGAATAAGGGAAAAAAGAATCTGATTAAAAATAGAGATACAACCTGGTGCAGATGGCTCATGCCTATAATCCTAGATACTCAGGAGGCTGAGATCTGAGGATTATAGTCCAAGGCCAGTCTGGTAGGAAAGTCTGTGAGATTCTTACCTCAAATTAACCATCAAAAAGTTGAAAGTGGATCTGTGATTCAAGTGGTAGAGTGCTAACTTTTGTTGTTGTTGTTGTTGTTGGTCATGGGGCTTGAACTCTGGGTCTGGGTGCTGTCCCTGAGCTCTTCAGCTCAAGGCAAGTGCTCTGCCTCTTGAGCCACAGCGCCACTTCCGGTTTTCTGGTGGTTTGTTGGAGATAAGAGTTTCATTGACTTTCCTGCTCAGGCTGGCTTTGAACTGCAATCCTCGGGTTTTGTGGTGGTATATTGGAGTTAAGAGTCTCATGAACATTCATGCCCAGACTGGCTTTGAACTGCAATCCTCAGATCTCAGCCCTCCTGAGTACCTAGGATTACAGGCGTGAGCCACCAGCACCCAGCTAATGTTTGCCTTTTCTTAACATTTAGAAATCTCTAGGTCCTGCTAATTATCTAGTAATCCTTTCTACTATGATGAAATTGAAAGTTCCTAAAGTCGATTTGATGTTGTATGCAAATTTAACATCCAAATAGAAATGTATCACTTGCAAAGTGATATATCAATGTGAAATAGCAAAAAGCCAGACATTGGTTTGGAGTTTTAGAAATATTTGAGGAACAGAAATTAAAGCCAAGGGGGAGGGGAACTGGGGAGGAGGGTAAGTGCGAGAAAATGAGGTAAGGGGTCACTATGTTGACAAGAACTGTATACATTAACTTACTTTTATAACTGCAATCCCTCTGTACAATAAAATAAAATTTAAAAAGGTTTTATAAAAAAGAAAGGGCTGGAAATGTGGCTTAGTGGTAGAATGCTTGCCTAGCATTCATGAAGTCCTGGGTTTGATCCCTCAGTACCACATAAACAGAAAAGCCCAGAAGTGGTACTGTGGCTCAAGTGGTAGAGTGCTAGCCTTGAGCAAAGGCAGCTTAGGGACAGTGCCCAGACCCAGAGTTCAAGCCCCAGGACTGGCAGATAAGGAAGGAAGGAAGGAAGGAAGGAAGAAAAGGAGGGAGGAAGGGAGGGAGGGAAGGAAGGGAAGGAGGAAAAAGAAGAGAGAGGAGAGAAAGGAGAGAAAGAAAGAGAAAGGGGAGAAAGAGAAAGAAGGAAAGAAAGAAAGAAGGAAGGAAGGAAGCTTTTGAAAAGCTAAAAAAATATGGTTGAGATGAAGACTGACTTATGCAGGTAATCCAACTCAAGCAGGCAGAGATTGGGAGGATTGTATTTTTGGGTCCAGCACATGCAAAAAAAGTTCTCCAGATCTCCTTCTCAACTAATGAAACAGCGTGTGATGGTATGTACCTGTTATCCTAGCTACGTGTAATATAAACAGTAGGATCACAGTGCAGGCCTTCTGGGCAAAAAAACAAGGCCCTATTTCAAAAGTAACTAAGATTAAAAAGGGCTTGGGTGTGGCTCAAGGTAAAGGGCCTACCTAGCAAGCACAAGGCCCTCAGTTCAACTCCAGTACTGCTCTATCACAAATAATGGTTGTATAGTGGGTATGTTTCTAGACGGGCTTGCCCCAAAATGTTCAAACTGTATTTTTTTTTCATATAGTTTAATATGACACAAAGTCTACACATTATAGAGAGAACATCCAATCATTCACTAAGGCAAACACACACACATATATCAAACTGTAGATTTGTGTGCATTATTTATTAATGGTGTTGTTCGGAAATAGATGTGATAAATCCTTCTATCTTTTACTATTAACATGATGGCAGCACAAAAAATTTTACTGTAGATTCTGTATATTTGCAATTTCTTTTTAATAAAAATTAATGTGGAAACAGGTTTCTAAAATTGTGCTTTATTTTGAAAATTTATATCTAATACAATGCAATGTAATTGTGCAACCTACAAGTTAATGAGAAGAATTATTAAAAAATATTAATTTGGGCTGGGAAGGTGGCTCAGTGGTAGAGCGCTTGCCTTGCATGCATGAGGCCCTGGGTTCGATTCCTCAGCACCACATAAGAAGAAAAAGCTGGAAGTGGGCTGTGGTTCAAGTGGTAAAGCGCTAGCCTTGAGCTGAAGAGCTGAGGGATAGTGCCCAGGCCCAGAGTTCAGGCACTACAACGGACACACAAGTATTAATTGGCAGAGCAACCCCAACTATGACATCTAGGAGTTATACATAAGTCCTGTGATATTTTTAAATTTTATCCTGAAGAGGTATGTCTGTGTCTCTGTGTACGTATCCTCAAGTGATGAGAAATTCCATCTCAAAGCTCCTTCTCAAAGTGAGGCTGCAAGCCCATGCCATTTCCCCATGTAAGCCAGGCTTACCACTGATCTCCACCATAAACTTTCCGGTATGATTAAATTCTTATACACACACAACGTGTGTATGAATATATGTATGTAAATATGTATTTCCTGCTAGCTCAATCCTTTTTTTATTTTTTGGTCAGTTGTGGGGCTTGAACTCTGGGCCTGGGCGCTGTCCCTCAGCATTTCAGCTTAAGGCTAGTGCTCTACCGCTTGAGCCACAGCACCACTTGGGTTTTGAGTGGCTTATTGGAGATAAGAGTCTCACGGAGTTTCCCTCCCAGGCTGGCTTCGAACTGCGATCCTCAGGTCTCAGCCTCCTGAGTAGCTAGGATGACAGGCGGGAGCCACCGGCAACCGGCTCAATCCTTTGATTTTTACAATTTCTCATAAAGGCGTCCGTTCCCTGTTTCAAACCCTGCGTCTTCCGGTAGGTTGCTCTGCTCTGGCTCTCCAATTCCAACGGCCCTTACACGGTGGGTTGCATTCTGCTGCTAGTTCCTCACGAGTTCATCTTGCTGCTTCTCTAGTGTGCGGATGGGGACCAGGGCGTGGACCCACCCCAGCGGGGTGTTCCCCACCACAGGGCTAACATGCCGGTTGCGGGCAGCCCCTATTCGGGGGACGCTTTTCAACTCCCTCACTTGCCCACGGGGCTGCCTAGCCGCCATCTTGTGCGGCTCTGGCCCTAACGGATGGGAAGTCCTTCTGTACTCATTTGGCCTCCTCCCGGCTGCCGATTTTCCCACAGACCAGGGTTCAGAGACCTACCAGACTGCACGACTTTTGCCTGGATGGACAGCGCACTTTCATGTGCCTAGGAAGTGAAAGAAGGGCGCACTACCCTCGGACACTAGGACGAAGCACGACCAGCCGCCATGGGCCTCCGTACTGAGCATGCGCAGAGCCGTCCTCGCAGCTTGAAAACACAGGAGCATGCGCAGAGCGGTCCTCAGGCATTATGGAAATCCATGAGCAGGTGCAGCTTTGTCCTCAGGCAGCCTTGAAATCCAGGAGCATGCGCAGTGTTGTTCACGACCTGCCTTGCCTGAGCTTGTGCCTTCGAGAACCTTCTTGCTGCCTGACAGGAGGAGGTGGGTTATGAAAACCTGGGGCTGTGGAGAACTGTATCCCCCACCTGACCAGGTGAGTAATGCGCATGGGTGCCTGGTGGTGCGCAGGGGCTCCCTCGGAAGGCCCGGGTGGGAGCCACCAGTCCCACACTCTGCCCCACTGCTGGTTAACGGGAGTGAGGGGTAGGGTAGGGCTGTACATGGATTTCTGACTAGTGTGGCATCTGCAACGGCTCTCTCCATGTAGACATGACTTTTTATTTCTAGAGCTTGTTATTCGTGCAACAAATTTATTGTTATTAGTACTGGGGTTTGAACTCAGGGCCCCTGCTTGCTCAGGTTATGCTCTGTCATTTGAGTTACATCCCCAGCCCGACTTTTGCTGGTTATTTTGGAGATGGGAGTCTCAGAAATTCTCTCAGGAATTTGAAACGCAGGATGGTTTCACCATCCTCAGGATGTCAGCCTCCTGAGTCATGTGCCCTCATGCTGGGCTAAAAATATGTTTTCGAGTGTTTGGGTATTTGACATGCTTACCTATGTTTATTAAAATAAATAAATGAGACCACTTTTTTGGTGTGTTTTTTGCCCCTGTTCTTGTTTCAAGTTTTATAAAATGAGTTAAATGTTAAGTGTTGTGATACTTATTCTGGGATATTAAACAAAGATGAAGTTAGGAAACTTGCTAGCAAGTGTGCGTGTGTGCTTGCTTGGCAGGTTGCTCTATCACTTGACCCCTTTTGGGCTTTTGATATTCCTACAAGGCATGTTATTTTTGGTTCTGGTCCTGGGGCTTTGAGTCAGCAATTGGGTGCTATCCCTGAGCATTTTTGCTGAAGATGAGTACTTCTGTAAACCTATCTACTCAGAAGGTTGAGAGGATGAGATCTGAGGATCAGGTTCAAAGCCACCAAAAAACTGGAAGTGCATCTGAGGCTGAAAAGGTAATATGTTAGCCTCAAGCCCAAAAGCTCAGGAACAGTGCCCAAACCCAGGACTGGCACACACACAAACAGTATGGCCAACACCACCAGCAGGAAAGTTTGAATATTTCTTAATTTGGTCTCTAATTCTTAATCATAAGGTCCAGTAAATTCAGGTGTGACTATCAGAAAAAAATCACTGCACACAGCTTTAATAAGTTTATATTCACCAGCTTTTATTAAAAAAAATGGCTTGATCGTTCAAGAGATACAGGGACATTTGGCTTTTAGTTTGTAGGAGAGCTTGCTTTCTTTCTGCATCGGCTCAAAAGTCAGTCCTTGGATCCAGAAATGGACAGGTTGCCTGGGATAAGGTGAGAATGATACTACCACTCAATCCTGCTCAACAGGTTACTTGTAGCGATCCTTAAAGGAAACGGTAGGGTCTCTTCTTGTTTCCATGAAATTCCATAGCCATTTCTCCACAAAACATTCTATGAAGTAAATGAAGCTCATGCTTGTATAACAGCGATGAGAACACCACCTTCAGACTTGGTTCCTGGCACAGGAGAAAAGCATGCCACTCCACCCTAATGCTATACTCTCACTAAATTAAATCTTAGGATGATAAATGTGGCATGGCTTTAAAATTCAGTGAACCATCTTTGTAGTAGAATTCATTAGCACATTTAGCTGTCAGCTGAAAGATTTGTGATAGCCAACTACTTGGTGAATAAGTGTTATGAAGCAAAAGAGTGATATCTGCAAAACATTGTAAATATACTAAATGCTACTCAGTGTACTGATTTGAATGATAGGATAGTGATATTTAGGTTATGTGTATTTTTAAGATAATAAAAACAAAACTTGAAAGATTGCATTGGAGGTTTGTATTTTTCCTGACCCTGAGTCATGACTGAATTTTTCTTCCTAACATCTACAACTTAATATTCTCTTACATCTAAATATTCGTATGTTCATCTGACTTAAAAAAAAAAATCTCTGGTCCAAGTGTTCTACCTGGTAGCATCCTGGCCTCACCCAGGAAATTATAATTAACTGGCATACCAATTTTAAGGAGATTAACAATTGTATTAGATGCACAAATGTATATTTCCTTGCAAAACTCTTTGGCTAAGACTGAGAATGGGATTTATGTCTGTTCTTTCCAAAGGCATTATATGGCTTTTTTTTTGTAAGAAGGAATGAGGAAGGAAGAGATTCATAAAGATTCTGAGTGAGCCAGTTTCTGAGGTTCTTTTAACTACCTCTGCTTCCTGGCATGGGACTTAGAACTCTTACTTCAGTATTGTTCAGTCAGTATTGTTCATTTATAAAGCAAACATCATGAAAGGTGGCAGGTCTTTATAACCTATACAAGAATAAAGTACAACAGAGAAAGAGGTGACTGGGAAAGACAGACAAGATACAGTTATCTGCCAGGAGGCTCATGAGGCAGGGGTTGTGAAACACTTCCCAAGAAAAGGCTTCAGCAAAAACGAAGGAAGCCTCAGGCTGGTCTAGATTGGCCCTGGAAATCAGGGAAGGATAATCTTGCTGCTGCCTGGAAGGAAGTGCTCCTTGGACAAGTTATTGTTGTTGTTGTTGTTGTTATTACTTATTCCGGACAGCAGATTTCAGCTGCTCGTGCTATACCATTTCTTTCCAGAAGTAGGAAGGCTTGTTACAGATAAATATGCCTGTGATGAACACTGCAACCAGGATCAGGGAGAAGAGGACCATGAGGAAGATGTAAGTGGAATGTGGGAGACGTGCAGATGATGGTTGCTCAGCTGGGATCATGTTGGTCAGATTCAGCATGTAGCCCAAAGTCCAGCCGGCGTTGCTACCCTCGACCTGCAAAGAGTGAAAAGTTAGCTATTTGTGGTTAAGAAGCTAGTCTAGTTTATATACAACCCTATCCAGAACAGTGGAAGGATAGTAGGCACCCTGTTCTCAAAATACAGGTTATATTCTATACTAGGCATCTGGTTGTGAGGAAAATGGCAGCATATGACTAAATGAGAGTTTAGATTTTCACTTAATTCCAAAGTTCAGAAAGGAATATGGTAAATGGATTCTACCTGGAAGGACTTAATCCAATAGATCTTTGCTTTCTTGCTTTCTTGTTTATTTTTTTTTTTTTTTTTTAATTATTGCTTTCTTGTTTATACCAATAGGGTGGGCATAGGAGGTGACAGGAAGCAGACAAAGGATGAGGAAATGATTGTTCTATCCTGTCCCGTCCTTTTAACATCTTTGCCAGGCCTGGGCTGGGCTTTACTAGGGAAAATCTAGGAGAGGACAATCTGGGAAAATCTGTGTAATAATACCAACAAGTTAATATTACTTTATGGAAGCTGGATAACTCTATATGCAGGAAAAAAAGGATTCTTAAGATATAAGATATATTCTGACCCTGCCAGGTGCCTAGGAATAATTTCCAATCACCTGAGAGCTGACTGGAAAATAACTGGTCTTTGAATGGTAATTTTGGAAGTGGTTAATTACATGAGTTGTGCATGGTTATAGTAGAAAAATGCAAATTAAAAAAGTTCAATTAAGCTTAAAAAAGAAAATTTAAACCACCTTTATTTCACCATTCAGAAGTTGTTTCTGTTACCATTTTGTGACATACCTTTTAATTCTCTCTGAGCATAAAAAATATGGGAATTAAGTTTCTGTAGAAGAATTCACTTATTACTATCTTCATGTCTCTAGGTATTTCTATGCCATTTTAGGATTTAAAAATCATAGAAAGGGCTGGGAAGGTGGCTCAGTGGTAGAGTGCTTGCCTCGCATGCATGAGGCCCTGGGTTTGATTCTTCAGCACCACATAAGCAGAAAAAAAAAAGCCGGAAGTGATGCTGTGGCTCAAGTGGTAGCATGCTAGCCTTGAGCTGAAGAGCTGAAGGACAGCCCAGGCTCAGAGTTCAGGCCCCACGACCGGACCCCAAAAAAATCATAGAAAATTGGAAATGATGTATCCACTTTTAGACTCTTAGCACATACTGTCAATCTCCCAAAAGACTGTATTAGTTTATACTCCAACTAAAACTATGTGGACATTCTTCTTTCCTCCAAACCCCTACCAGTATTAGGAATTAGTAATTTGTAAAGCTTCAATGCTTTGTTTTGCTTGAAATCACCACATTTTAGAAGGGGACAAAATATTTTTGCCATTAGTGTATATAGGCTTAAAAACACTGCCCTTGATACTTTCAAGCTTAAGTCCCACACCTGGTGTGTATCTGTTTCTGAATACCTGCAGGTGGCACTACAGTAAAGCACAGCAGGGATTTTGCTTCTTCAAGGGCTTCTGTTAAGTCTGGTTTCTAAGTAACCAGCCTCATTCATAGCCATTCAGTCTCTTCCTTCACTCAGAGCTTTCAGATTGGTCAGTTTTGAAGCAACAACCAACAAAGCTTTCATTCCTTATAAGAAACTATGATGGTCCTTTCCTGAATTGAAGAAGGGGTCTAGGGAGGGGGGCCGTGGGAGTCTGAAGTTTGGAAGTGCTGTTACATTGTTTTAGTATCTCAGTCTTTATGAGAATTAGTCATTGTACAATGGGAAGAAAGGCAACAGAGAATGTAGTCAGCTCCCCTTCAGTCCCATAGCTGGATGATATTTCCAGAAGAGTGTGAAACAGAATTCCAGTTTGGATCAGAGGTGGAATGACAAAACAGGACATTGGGGCCAAAACTTCCATCACACTGACTCCCATCTTTTTTGAGCCCAAAGCTGCTACAATCAACACCACCCAACCTCCACACATCCAACAGGTGCTCAAATTACCTTGCCCATAAAATGAATTTGCTCCCAGGAATCATTTGTAAAATGATAGCCTTGCAGAAGAAGGGAGAGGATGTAGGCCCCAGAAAAGCAGTATTCACTCAGATATTTCTCCTTTATTTCAGGAAAAGATGTCTTTACCTAGAAGTGAAACGAAGGAAATATCATACCTGCACAAAAGGATCTCTCTATAGCTTTCTTTGTTACTACTAGACCTGAGAAGGATCACGTGGGCTTGAGGGTTGGCTTTCCCAGAAGCACTGGGGATGGTGCTGTACTACAGTGGGTGCTACAATGTTTTTCAGTTTATGGTATTGTACAGAAGCACTTTATTCCTAGAGCTCTATATGTCTAGGAAAAAAGTTGTTCCTGTGGTATAGTATGTTTTAAAGCAGTTAATTTCAGTATCTTTTTCATCCCCTAAACTTGATATTTTAATATTATTAGAATATTAATATTTAATATGAACAGAATATTATTCTATTTAGTATGTTAATGTATTATATAATTTTATAAATACAGTATATGAAAGGAGTCTGTTATTTTTTAGTCAGTGTTTCCTATATATTCATCAGATTCTTTGGCTAAGAGCCTCTATAAACATCTTAAGGGAATAATGTCCAGAAAAAGCCTTACCACACACTTAGCTTAGTATGTGTACTGACAGCAACATTCTCAAAGAGCATGTTAGTTCTCACCCCAGTCACTCAAAATTTGCACTTTCTGATGATTCTTGGGTGATTCATGTGCACAGTACAGTCTGAGAAACACATTCAGCTCTGGAAACATTTTACTGGCTAAGTACTTAGCTTGGTGGGAAAGCACTTGCTTAGCATATGCAAGGCCCTGGGTTCAGTTTCCATTACTACAAAGCAACAATATGGCCAATTACAAATGGTCAATAAATACATGAAGAAATGTTCAACATCTTTAGTCATAAAGGAAATGTAAATCAAAATGACACATTTTTATCTCACTTTAGTCAGATTGGTTTTCATTAAGACAACAACCAAATTTGGACAGAGTATTACTCAACCATAGAAAGAATAAATTTGCCAACTACTGGTGGCTCATGCCTGCAATCTTAGCTACTCAGAAGGCTGAATTCTAAGGATCACAGTTCAAAGCTAGCCTGGGCAGGAAAGTCTGAGAGACTCCAATTAACCACCAGAAATCCAGATGTGGAGCTTTGGCTCAAAGTGATAGAACACTAGCTTTGAGCAAGATTGCTCAGGGACAGTGCCCAAGTCCTGAGTTCAAGACCATTGACCGACCAAAAAAAGAAAGAAAGAAAGAAAAAAGAATGGTGTCTTTTACAAGAAAATGGATGTAACTGGAGATTTTTATGTTAACTTGAGGCCAAACATAGGAATATGAATACCTCATGTTTCTTCTCATATGCAGAATCTAAGTTTTTAAAATGGCATGAAAGTATATTAATAAGAAATAAAGTCTCTTTTTTTTCAGTTGAAAATGGCATGGAAGTAGACCAAAGAACTAACTTGGGAAGAAGAAAGTACACAGGGGAAAGGAAGGGAAAGAAATAGAGGAATTATTATGATTAACGTACTTTGCATGTATGCATGAAAATGTCACAGTGCAACTGATTTTGTACAATATATGCTAATAAAACCTTAAAAAAAAAAGAACACTGCATGGGCAGCTTAGTGGTAGAACACTTGGCTAACACATAAGGCCCTGCATTCAATCCTCAGCAACACATAAAACACTAACAACAAGATAAAAGGTAACATGTTAGTGAGGATATAGAGAAAAAAGAACCCTTACATGCTGGTAATAGGAATGCAAATCAGTACAGCCATTTTAAAAATATTACAGCCAGGTGCTGGTGACTCACAATTGTAATCTTAGCCACTCAGAACTGAGGCTCTTGGTTTGAAGTTAGGCTGGGCAGCTAAGTTCAGGAGACTCTAATTTCCATTTAATTACCAAAAACGTCAGAAGTGGAGCTATGACTCAAGTGTCGCGTATGTACATATGTTGAAAATATCACACTCTACCACATGAAAACATACAGTTATTATGTATCAGCCAAAAATGAAAGTAAAAGACGGTTAAAAAAAAAACAAGGGCAATAGTGTAAATACTGCAATTGCTAGCAGATTAGTAAGACAAGAGAAAGAAACAAAAGGGATCCAAATAGGAAGGAAGAAGTCAAACTACCTCTATTTGCAGATGATGTGAGTCTATGTCTAGAAGGACATAGATTCCACCCTAAAAACTCTAGACTTGATAAGCACCTTCGGCAAAGGAGCAGGATATAAGATTATCAAACAAAAATCAGCTTTCTATCAACAATGAGATGGAGAAGGACATTAGAAGAATACCATCATTCACAGTAACCTAAAAAACAACAACAAAACAAAACAAACCCACCAAGAAATAAACCTAACCAAGGACCTCTATAATGAAAACTATAAATCTTTGAAGAGAGAGATTGAAGCAGACACCAGGAGACAGAAAGACTTCCCATGTTTGTCAAACTGACTAAAGTATGGTAGGGATGGGTTTCCATGATGTAACCCCTTTGAGCAATTAACAGGCTAACAAGATAAATATCTGGAAGCTAAAACATATGAGGGTGGTAGGGCTGAGTGAACAGCGTGGATGAATGGAGAGAGGAATGGCAGGTGAATGTAGTCATAATATTTAATGTATATATGTGAAAATAAAACTAGGAAACCTGAGATGAGTGGGGATGGGTTAGATGGGGGGCAGTAATGGCAGGGGCATCACTGAACAAGATGAATTGTACACAATGGACGTGTTAAAAGCATTCTAAACAGCCAGGCACTGGTGGCTCACACTTATAATTCTAGCTACTCAGGAGGCTGAGATCTGAGGACTGAGGTTCAAAGCCAGCCCAGGCAGGAAAAGTCTGTGAAACTCTTATCTCTAATAAACCACCAGAAAATGGGAAGTGGCACTGTGGCTCAAGTGGTAGAACGCTAGCCTTGAGCTGAAGAGCTCAGGGAGAGCGCCCAAGCCCAGAGTTCAAGCCCCACGACCAACAAAATAAAAAATAAAAATAAAAAAGAAGGGAAAACTGAGGTATGGGGCTTCTGGCATAGCCTTTTCTATACACAAGTATCTGGTTCTACTCATGATTTCAGACAAAAGGGCCACATCCGCCAACTTGGGTCCATGATGAAATGCATACCATCAAGGTTGAAAAAGCAGTGATTGAGGTAGAGATGAACTGCTGACTCTGTCAGTAGAGCCTATTAAAGGACTTCATATAAAGTGAGAAACACCAAGGAATGTGGATAAATTCATTCTTTACTCCACCACTGGATTTCTCTAACACATTTACTGGATATTAGTCAAACCTGGATGAAGTTAAGAACAGATTCATAACCTCCCCAGTAGTGACAGCAATTGTGACAGTTTCTGTTTCTAGTTACTTACCTCCTCCCAGGACTTAGAGCAGAAATTTCCCATTATCTCAATCATCTGTTCCTCAGAGGACACTTTTTCCGATGTTAAGTTTAAAAAATCCATCACAAAATAGAAAGCTGAAAATGCCTGCGGTAGAAACACCCACAGTTTTAGGCTGTGCCTAACACACAGGGACATTGACTTGGTCCTTTTGGGGGCTCAATTTTGGCTCTGAAAATAGCAAAGAAACCCTCCACTGGCAATTCGCTACTATAGCATCTGTATGCTTCAATTCCAGTGAAAAGCCCAGTGGAAGTTTCTCAAAAGACACTGTGAGTTTTTTATTGTTTTGTTTTTAAACCATACCCCCGCCCCCACACACACACTACAGTGAAATGGTTTAAGTGGTACAATGCCAGCCAGATTGAAAAGGTATCAACAACACACACACACACACACACACACACACATCTCATGTGTAGTAAGTAAATAGTTAATAAAATTAATAACTGTAAATATTTCTATTTTCCTTTTTTTGGCATGATTTCTCCCCTATTTCAGATCTAAACAGTTGTCTGGCAATGTAGTTGACATTCCATTAAAGGTTTCCAAAAGAACAAAGTCAGAAAGTTAACCCAAAGCAACATTGATTCATAAAGGAATTAAAAACAACCTAAGTTGTGTTAAATCATTTTCCAAGGGTCAAATCAAAAGGTATGGACAGCACTTAGAAATATTAAGTGAAGCATCTGTAGTCACAGAAGAAACATGATCTTGTTACAGTTTTTTTTTTTTTTTTAAATCAAGGTCCTGTTCCAAACCACACAGCTGACATATCCCCTCCCTTCATAGAGCCAAGGGGAAACGCTGCTGAGTGAGCTGGGTATGTTCATCTTTCTTGCTGTACTTCAGAATAAGATCGTTATCTTCCCTTGATCACTCAGTTCATTCATATTCACATTAATTCATTTTCTCATTCCATCAGCCTGTCAGCTGAAAGACTTAATGACAACATTTATTGTATAAGTTTTTCAGAAATCTGCCACAGGCTGGTTTAGTACCTAAGGTCAATTTCTCTGGGAATATCTCTTTTGCCATCGACTACTGTTTATACAAACAGATTGGAATTCAAACTAGGAAAATAGTGTTGATAGACTGATGGCAGGGTTTAGGTTCTTTTCCCCGCTTGGTTTATGTATATTTAGAAAGTAACCTTAATCTTAGTTATAATGTTTTCCTTTTTTAATTCCAAGAATTATCCCAAATGACAAAAACCAAAAGCAAACAAAAAGTCTCCTCCTTTACCCCAAGCAGCAACATTTCTCAAACTCCCATAGTTGAGGATCACATCACCAAGTTTATGCCTGTGGCTGGAAGACACTTTAATGGGGCGGGGGGAACCCCACTATTCTGGTCTTGCTCTTAGGCTTCAGGAACTGAAGCCAGGGATTTTCTTTTGCCAGAATGGATGCAAAACCAATTCTTGAGAATGCCGACTCCATTTTAGGAATTCCTGAGTTTGTTTAACTATCGATAGGATACTGTCCTAAATCTGTGAACTGTCCCTTAATTCCCAAACTAGCAATCAATATTATAGTATTTTTCTTTATAATATTTTACTTGGTATCTACATCCTATGGGTCTACATTTGAGTAACAAATTAGGATAGAAACATTCTAAGTAATCTTCAGGAAGCATAGCTTTTTGTTTGTTTGTTTTTTCGGTCATGGGGCTTGAACTGTAGGCCTGGGCACTGTCCCTGAGTTCTTGAGCTCAAGGTTAGCGCTCTACCACAGTGCCACAGTGCCACTTTAGTCTTTTCTGTTTATGTGGTGCTGAGGAATCAAACCCAGGGCCTCATGCATACAAGGCAAGCACTCTGCCACTGAGCCACCTTCCCAGCCCCAGGAAGCATAGCTTTAAAAAGTCAGATCCTAAGTCAGAAGCCAGTGGCTCATACTTATTATAGCAACAGGGAGGTTGAGATTGAGAGAATCTCTGTTCAAAGCCAGCCTGGGCAGAGAATTTAACAGACCTCTTCTCAATTAGAGTTGAGCATGGTGGTATGGACCTGTTATTCTAGTTACATAAAGTAGTCTATAAACTAGTTGGACCATGATCAGGCATATACAGGGACAGGAAACTAGACCTTATCTGAAAAATAACCGGCAGGAAAGAGTTGGAGGTATGACTCAGCAGTATACCACTCACCTAGTAAGGTCCTGAGTTCAAGCCTCAGTACTGAAAATAACAAGTCAGTTTCTCATCTTTCAGTTTCTAGTTTAGACAGTATTTATAGAAAGTTATTTAAAGAGTATATGACTCTTTTCTTCTAGCTACTCTGAAATCTATTAAAACCTATCTCAGTGTGTTGTTATACAACTATAGTTCTAGATAATTTGCAAGTTAAGGGAGGAAGATCTCTTTTTTTTTGGGGGGGGGTCCAGTCGTGGGGCCTGAACTCTGGGCCTGGGCACTGGGACTGGGCTCTTCAGCTCAAGGCTAGCCTCTACCACTTGAGCCACAGAGCCACGTTTCTTTTTTGCTTATGTGGTGCTGAGGAATCAAACCCAGGGCCTCATGCATGCAAGGCAAGCACTCTACCACTGAGCCACCTTCTCAGCCCCGGGAGGAAGATCTCTTGATCCCAAGAGTTCAAGTGCTACCTTGACAAATTAGACTCCATCTAAAAAAAAGTTTAAAAAAATCTACATTACTATTTTCTACATCTAAACAATAGCAATCTGAAATCTGGATCTTGCCAGAGTTTCCAATTTCAGGGCATTTTGATTTGACATTAAGGATGCCCTACCTCTATAGCAACTTTAACCTGAAGGCAAAATATTTATGAGCCACTTACCATGTGATGATAACTTTTGGTGGTTAAAGCAATATAGATTTTTAGTCTATTTACTACCATTAATACAAAGTCTATTATAAAAATTTTAAAGTCAAAATGTATGTAAACCAAGATTTACATATGATACATGATATCATTCAGTCAAAAGAATGGTAAGAAAGAGCAGCATTAAATCACAATTCTACAAATACACTGTAGCCCATACTACATCACTGTGGTGGTTTCTTTCACAGTACCTCCATTTTGCTGTTATGGTGAGCTCAAGTGTGGCGAACCTCTGATTTAAATACATGTTACACATCTGATATCCACATGAGCAATTTCATTTCTCTAGTACATTGCATATTACAGTACATAGTGATCTTTTATGGTTCTTATGTATTTCCACTGTGTACAATACAGATAATGTAAATATGTGTTAAGTATGGTACGGGTAAGGCTTCTGGAATGACAGTCTATATTAATAGTAATTACATTTTGGAGGATTCAAGTTTGATCAGTACCAGGAACCTCAGAGATCCCTGAGCCTCATCTGCACAAAGGGGATGGAGGCGTGGCTTATGTGGTAGACTGTCTGCTTAGCAAGCACAGGGCCCTCAGTTCAAAAGATTAGACTTGGAGGGGGGACCAAGATGGCGACGGGGCAGTAGGGAAACGCCACAGCTCTCTCCAACCAAAAAGAGAGTTCGAGTTCCAACGTTTAATCTCCCCAAGAGACCGACAACAACAAAAAGACGAACACTCAGAGAAAAACCAGAGGTGGAAAATAACAAAAAAAGAAAGAGAGGAAAAGAAGAATTTCAGAACAGAGAAGAGCGAAGACCCCTCCCCCAACCTTTACTGGCCGCGCAGCAGTGCGCCAAGCCGCCGGCCAGCCGGCCCGGCGGGGGCTGCCGGAGCCACAGAGACACAGGGGGCTGCTTGCAGATCACCAGGTACCGGATTGCAGAACAGCCGATCGCCAGGAACAGAGAAACCTACCAGCCGGGAGTCTCCACGAGGATCCTACCCCCACCCCTCACTCTCCACCGGAGCGGAGAGGTTCCATCCCGCCAAAGCCGCCCGGCACCAGCAGCGCGACAAAGGGACCTGTCGGCAGACCACCCGCCCAATCGCGATCCCAACTACCCGGCGGGGGGCCGCCCAACCCAGCCCGCAACCACCCCAACTGAACTCGGATTGCAACAACAACTGACGACCTACAGGGTGAGTACCCAACAGGGGACAGTGAATCCATCAAGGGAGACCAGAGCTGGAGGGAATCCCCAGACCCTGACCTAGACTCCCTACCCCAACACCCGGACCACAGGACCCACTAAAACTGGGAACTGTTCGAGAACTCCACCAGCCGGTGGAGCACACTCTGCTGGCCAGGCCAGAGCAAGAGCGCCCCTGGAAGGGAGCTTAAATGCCCAAGCCAGGAACAGCGCCCCTGGGTCAAGACTACCAACAGTAGAAGAAATTTGAACTGTGTCCTCCAGGCTGCATAACCTAGGTGGTATAAACATTAGCACAGGCCTAACGAGCGCGCTCCAGGCTGGGGCCGGAACCAGGCCCGGGGACCGGCGCCTGAACAAAGCAAAAAGGGTCAGAAGTGGGGCTGTGGCTCAAATGGTAGGGTGCCAGCCTTGAGCTGAAGAGCTGAGGGACAGCACCCAAACCTAGAGTTCAAGCCCACAACCAGCCCAAAACAAACAAACAAAAACACATCAGGAGCCCATAGCAGACTCCAGTATTTGGGAGAGTGCATCCAGAGCATCTGTTCTTCCCAAGAGCACCCGCAGGAGCAAACACAAGCAGTCTAGGCTGCTCAACCCTTCCAAAGGCGGGAATTGCTACAGCAGAGAGCTGAGAATCCTAAGTAAGTCAGAATAGCAGCTGGAAATAGGCTCCCAACAGAATCCAGATCAGGCACAGACTCTCTCCACCAATACAGAATCAGCAACCAAGCAAAGACAGACACACCAAAAAAAGATTGAAGAGCAGTCTCCTGAACCCCCATGCGAAAATCACAGAGAAAAATCACAAGGTTTACCACTACCCAGGACAGCAAGCTCACCTCAAAAGCCAGCAGCCACGCAGGGGAGAACCCCAGTGGGAGCAAAGCAGGAATGGAAGACAAAAACTACATCCAAGGGTTGCTGGAGGCAATGACTCAAGAAATAAAGCGAGAAATGGATCAGAAATTGAAAGAGCACAAGGATGAACTATCAAAAGATATACAGGATATCAAACAAAAGTTGGATGCAAAAATAGAAGCTGCACAAACCTCAGTAAGAAGTGAGAT